GTAAAAGCACTCTTACTCTGGGACTTACCGCCCAGCAGATCCTCTATTCAGCTATCTACAGGAAAGGTCCTCACCGGCCTTTTTCGCACACTTTCCTCGCTCGACGGCCATCAAGTAACTAACGGACCTCATCCCCCTTTGACACAACACAACACACCCACACACACATAAACAAATGCACTACTGTTTCCTCTCTCCTTTTTCGTGACCATCAATCAGGCTGTGATCGAGGGCATCCATGCTCTCGGCGCGCTGACTGGCACTTCATCCTTCAACTCGCCCAAGGTGCTGGTCATCGGATCAGACGTCGCAGCTCGCCAGGCTATCACGACAGCCAAACACGGTCAGACGAAGACACACAGAGTGATGAGGTGGCGCTGGCCTCTTTGCATTTATACGCGTCGTGTGTGTGCGTGTGTATCAGTTCTGGGCTCTTGTGTGTTTGCCACTGACACTGACACCAGAGGTGATGCCAGGGCCCGCCTGGAGTCTCGCGGTGTGTGGTACATCGATCCCTGGCGCTCTGCCACATCGACGTCAGGCGACGGCAGCGACTTCGATGCGCAGCGTGCGATGTTGATGAAGGTGTTGCCGTCGATGGATCTGGTCATCTGCTCGGCGGCCAACAATGGCAACACGGCCCCCTTGATACTCGATGGAGAACTGGTCAGTCAGAGCACAACAGCCAGCACCGAGACTGACAAGGCACAGACACTCACTCTGTTGCCTGTCTATGTGTGTGTGTGTGTGTGTGTGTCCATGCTGCAGGTGCGTGTGATGGGCCGCGGCAAGTGCATTGTGGATCTGACTTCCAGCAATACGAGACCTGGTCAGGACACACAGACAGGCAGAGGGACCGACAGATAAGAGAGGGCTGCACACCTGTGTGTCGTGTCGTGTCGTGTCGTGCTCAGGTGAGGTGGTGGTGGATGGTGTGTCTGGTGTCAAGATTGTGGGCATGCACAAGGCGGCTGATTGCATCCCAGCTGCGGCATCAATTCGCTACTCGTCGTGCATCGTCAACATCCTCAAAGTCGGCACTTCACTCTTGAGAGACACAGTGACAGGGAAACACGCAGCCACTTCTGTGTGTGTGGTTGATCAGAGTTCGGGCGGCGCAGCGGCCTTCAGTGTGACGGCCAACCCGACATCAACGCGATGGTCATGACGCGACACGGCAGCGTCACACGCGCCGCACTCCGCATCTTCACGCAACAAGAGAGACCAGGTGGGTGGGTGAGTGCGTTCGTGGGGAGAGAATTGTGTGTGTGCATGTCGTTCGTTTGTGTGTGATTGTTTGTGGTCAGAGCTTCTGTCCCTGTTCGATCGATTCGTGGGCAAGCAGCAAAGCCCCGCCAACAACACCAGCACCGGCAACTAACTGAACGAAGGCAAGCAGCCTAACCATATGCATGACACGACACACCTTCCTACGAAAACAAACGTGCACATGTGTCCGTCTGTGTGCCGGCTGTGCAGAGATTGATCGGCCAAGACTGTGTGTGTGTGACTGCATGGATGTCGACGCGCAGACGGAAAGAGAAAGAGAGACCACACAAGGCAAGAGAGACAGTGAGTGAGTGATGGATGGATGTTCGTGTTTCCACCCACCACCCATACATCCGCAGCACACAGACAGACCGATGACGAACAGACCGATGGATTCATGTGATGAGTGTGCGTGTCGTATGTCAGTCGCATCAAT